CAGTGGGGCAAAAAAGTATTTAGTCAGCCACCAATTGTGCAAGTTCTCCCACTTAAAAAGATATCAAAAGTTCATCTCAATACTTTGTTATATATCCTTTGCACAATAAAATACAGTGGGGCAAAAAAGTATTTAGTCAGCCACCAATTGTGCAAGTTCTCCCACTTAAAAAGATATCAAAAGTTCATCTCAATACTTTGTTATATATCCTTTGCACAATAAAATACAGTGGGGCAAAAAAGTATTTAGTCAGCCACCAATTGTGCAAGTTCTCCCACTTAAAAAGATATCAAAAGTTCATCTCAATACTTTGTTATATATCCTTTGTTTTTAAGTGGGAGAACTTGCACAATTGGTGGCTGACTAAATACTTTTTTGCCCCACTGTAAGCTGAGAGTGGTAAAAATGTCTCCTGTACAGAATTACACATACCAGCCTACAAATGAAGCACAAGTAACATCTGAATACAAAATACACTGAATATTCCATGGCTTGAAAAGCTAAGTGTATCTGGAAACATCCCACTAAATTTCAAGATCAAAATGACAGAGTCTTAGTAATATTCTTAGTAATATTAATTCCAGACACACAATCCAGTTCTGCCAGATTGCTGACTCACATCTCTGAAGTGAATGGTATCAAGGCAATCAATGCCTCAGCCACAGTCTAAGATCCTACATGCTGCATTGGTCAAAGGAGGACACAGGAAACAGCAATGAACTTGCAAGCCTTGCAAAAAATTTGCACTCAGTGCCTTCTGTGCTGGAGATGATGAGCAATTCTGAAGCCAAAGCCATATTGGGTTTTTAAAATCGGCTCATAGCAAGAACTATTAATAGAAGGTGGCAGACTAAACATTCCCCAAATAACAAGCTACAACATATTTATTGCATTTATGAGGCCTGATCAGAATTTGGAAGAAAATGAAAACCTTGTTGGAAAATCAGGAATGGACAGTTCCTTTACATGCCTTTACGACATTTTAGATTGTGGTTAAAAACAGCTGCAGCTATATTAGGGTTTGGCAGACATTCATACTGTCTGCTGGCAGTTTAATTTTTCACCTATCCTGTAAGTTCTGGGGGTGCCCGAGGCATCAGCACATCTCTGGTGCAGCAATAGCTCACGATGCAGTCCAATGTTCTAAATTGTGTTCGCATGACTGTGACACTCTGATTAATCAGATGGGCTGCAAGGCATGAAAAGAGCAATAATGCTTCCTTGATCATGGATGTGATCCTCTTCAGTTATGGGGCTGTGACTAGTGCCGTTTTTTTACATAACAATGTGATGTTAGGTAAACAACGTAACAATGCGGAGGAGAACGGTACTTTTTTTCTGCCTTGCATTCCGCATTCTATTCCTTTAGATTATTTTCTCCTAGGCCAGTTCATTTTCTGCACTAGCACCACCGTTGGAAAGAAAAACTCTTTAAATCATATTTTGTGAGGAGTTAAGGAGAAAGTGCATCCAGCTGCTCTTGTCCTCACAACTCTCTCAAGAGAAAATTTAGATCACCCTGCCCCTTATTTTATTTGCCAACCAGGCAGGAATATGTTTAAACAGACATTTCTTCTATCTAGTATGATTATCTTTTGTTTAATTGAGAACAGTCTTGGAGGGTTGAGATTCTCCTAGATACGGTATTAATTTGAAAAAAAAGCTATGAATAGGGGAGTGAAAATGTAGTACTTAGCCTGTTATAATTTGGTGTCTTCCTGATGTGTTGGACTAACTTTCAGAATGAAGTATTTTTGCTCTGAATGAGATTATGTTGCAATCAAACATTCAGACTACAAGAAACAGATATTCTTAGAGAACCAGCAGTGGAAGGAACATCCATACAATTCCTGTTCATGGCACCTTAAAGCATGTTTAAATGTACTCTTGATTGTTTGATTTTCTACATGTAAATGCTAAGATATCACACATAAAAATATAAGCCAGAGGCTTCAGGAGATAAAGTCCCCTTTTCTCCACAGTCTTTCATGTCTCCCTAGACCCCTTCTGACAGTTGAAAGACCCACTAGAATTTACCCTGGCAGAGGGCTGTGGCTATGGTGCAAGGATCAGGAAAAATAAGTACTTGAGGAAAAATACTTGAGGGAAAGCATTTTACCCTTGCATGAGGCATTATATGGATCTAAGCCACCAGACACACTTTCACAATCAGGTTGCAAGGAGGTCATTGTGATCTGAACTGCAGTGAGGAATTGTAGGAGTGTACCATTCAGTGAAATAGACCTGGAGCTGTTCTAGAATCTGGAGGTTAATTTGAAGAGGAAGAGCAGAAAATACATCGCTGTTATTGCTTTGGGTTCAGGCATCTTTCCCACACTCCAATTTCATTTCGCTTTGTTGGAGGATTTGTTCTGTTTTGGTAGTGAAATCACATTTCACTAGGTTTCCAAAAAGGCAAGGTTTTATCAGCAGGAAGATACTCCTTCTTTCAGCTGCTACCGTGATGAGAGCAGTAGTACTGTGCAAAACAGCATTGTGCAAAGTTCTCTAAACTCCTTTTATGTTTCTGTGATACAGTAATCCGGCTCTCTTCCCTACCTGCCTACAATTCCTGCTATTTGATGCCTTTTAAAGTTTTCTTACTTGTAATAATCCCTTAAAAGCTGAGCCCTGTGATAGCATTCAGCAAGAAAACAAAAGAAGTAAGGTATATTGGAAAGTCTACACAATCCCCACCCAGCCCCACAATTCTGCATCCGTTTTGTGCCATTTCTTTAATCATTCACCTGTGATTAACTATAACACCAGAATGTGTGGTGACTGTTTCATCTGTGGCATGAAAAATCATCCAACGTGCACTTTGCCAATGTGAAAAAATAATTGGCCCCCAAGTCAGTCAATTCAATTAAAGGGGTACTTGGGCCAGTTGTTTTGCGTATTTAATTAGATAATCGGGGCTGGTTTAAACCAGCACTGGCATATATACATTTTATAAACTTTGACTCCCCCTATCAGAGCAAAGTTCTCACTGCATGGATTCTAGAGATAGGTGAGGCCCTGTTCAAAAGAAACAGATGTCTTGCAAAGAAATCCTTCATGAAAAAGCCATTGCTGCTTGATGTCTGGAAGAGGTTACAAAATTATTTTGAAAACTCTGGGGCTCCACAGTCAGAACGTCATCTTGAAATGGAGATATCTGTCTGTAATGAATCTTCTGGACAGTGTCCAGTGTACCAAAATCCTCCAACAAAGCAAAATGAAATTGTCTAGGAGTTCACAAAAATGCCCAGAACATCCAAGAATCTGCAGGCTTCTTGTTTTGGCTAAAGCCAGTATTCATGATTCCACCATCAGAAAGGCATGGGTAAAAATGGGATTCATGGGAGAGTAGTAGGATGGAAGTAATTTCTCACTACAAAGAACACTGATGCTCATTTAAGCTTTGCCAAAAAGCACTTAGATAATCCTCCAGACTTCTGGAGGAACGTTTATGTACAAATGAATCAGAAAGTGAATTTTTCAGGTCACATGGGCATTGTTATGTCTGGCAGAACTAAACGCTGCATTCCACAGTAATAACCTCATACCAACTATCAAGCATGGAGGTGGAAGTGTCATGGTTTGGGGAAACTTTATGGTTTGCCATCTTAGGACATGGACAACTTGCCATCCCTGAAGGAATCATGAATTGTGTCTTGTATGAGAGAATGTTACAGAAGGCTATAAATTATAATGTGAAGAATTCAAATCTAAATGGACACAGGGTGCTTTGGATCCAGAATGGGCACCATCACTGTACCAGTTGGCAGCTCCTCAAAGGAGCTGCGCCTTTTCCTGGACTGACAGGAAATGCAGGCTCAGGAAAATACGTATTTGAATTAAGATGGTGTTAAAGAAGTTGCAACAGGCACCCTGCTGCACCTCCATTAGCCATGCAAACTTAGTTCACGGGATGGCCTTGGACCCATAACTAACTAACAGGGTTTTCATATCACACTATTATTAAGCCACACTAAGCCAAAACCAAACAAGTCCAATTATGATTTTGTACAATGTCTGAGTCCAGTCAGCATCTCCGAACCTAATCTACTTCACAGGTTGTTGTACAGAGAAATGTGCTTTTCTTTGGTAGAAGAGCAAGATAAAAATGTGCTAAAGAAAGAGAAAAAATAAACATGTCCCCATTTGGCGTAGTTTCCTTGGGGTTGTAGACTTTTTAAAAAGTGTTTTAATGTTTTTTAGCATGTGCGCATGTCATCTTTTCCCTTGAACGGTTCGTCTGTAACTGGATACCTTGCTGAGGCTGCTCTGCTTGCCAATCAGTCTGGATGACGCTGGGGTCTTAGCAGGCAGCAGTCCTGGTAGAGGGGCAGTTACATAAATGTGAGAAATTTGCTGCTCCTTCTTAGTCTGGCACTTGAAGTGTAATGACAACCCTATTAGAATATTGCAAGGAAACGCCTTGCAACAGAACAGAACCTGAGGGTAAGTTAAATCAAACAAGAAAAAACGTACATGATATGCTGTCTGGCATTAACTGGCCCCTGACTATATACTGACACAGCCAAAAGTATTGGTATCCCTCCACTTTTTCCCACAGAGTCCCAATTTGCCATGCAGTAAGTTGAAACTGACACAAATAAAGGGCATTCACCGTCCCGTTCTTTATTCCATAGTCCATAGAGCAGACCCTTCGCTCCTGATGTATGGCAACATGTTCTCGTAAATGAGGGGAGAAGTGGAGGGGTGCCAATACTTTTGGCTACATCTGTATGCAGGTCTGGCTGCTGTCACTGAAGATGCCTCCAGCCTTTCCAGCCTGCTCCCTTCCAGATGCCTTGGGCTCTCAACTCCCATTTATTCTCAGTGTGGCCCTCTGTCAGTTCGCTGCTTCTGCAGAGGCTTCAGCTTATCCTGTTCCCAGCCTCCCTTGTAATAAACAGTCTGACTTGTCCATTTTGTTCGCACTGAGGTAAACCTCTTCATTTTGTTAACGTCGGGCTTGATGAGAACAGGAAACGTTTATGTCGCTTTGACAGGAATGCTACAGAATGGAAAGAAGTTTGATTCCTCCCGAGATCGAAACAAGCCTTTCAGGTTCAAGATTGGTAGACAAGAAGTCATTAAAGGATTTGAAGAAGGAGCTGCACAGGTAAGAGAATTTATGTTTTCAGAACAGAAAAAGCAACAGTAATAATGCTAACAGTGTCATAAATGAAAGAGGGGAAAGGGGGGTATGAATTTAGAATCTCTGCAGTTTGTGTGTTGGTTCAGTAAAATTAGTACAGATAGGTAAACAGCTGCACTATCATTCAAACGACAACCTCTGAAATGTTAACATTTTTCTGCTCTGCTTTCTGCCTGCCTTTGAAAAAAGTTGTAATATTAGCCTTGATATCCTAGTAGAAATGTTTTAGTATTTTCTTTCTCACTGAAGGAATGTTTTATAATTAGATCTGAAAAATATACCACAGACATTCTCTGGCACCACACTGTTACTTGGAAATACTGTGAATAGGGATGTGCAAAATATTTTGAGCACTAAACACTCCATTTTGAATCTGATTGATTATGAAATGCTTTGAGCTGAGAACAGGTACTGGAGATTGAAATGGAATAATTTCAAGCTTGAAACTCTTCCAGAATATGGTAGTTGGTATCAGAGGAGTTTTCGTAAGGGCAGAACAACTGTTTTGAATCTGGAGCAGTGCATTTTGAATGCAAAACATTTAGTACACTACTCATTGTGAGCCTTGTTAGGATATAATACTGGTTGGAAAGTGTCTTAGGAATTTAGTATACCTTCAGTTAACCTCTCTCAATTAAGTACAGAATGGCCCATGCAATTAGGAAAAAAAAAAGTGAATAAGGAAACTTGATTCAAGTAGCTGAGGCATCTGCAGGAGGAGCAAGGGAGGGGCAAATGATAAAACATGTGATGTTTTATGTAAATGCTAGATCATGTAAATGCTAGAATTTACATACCTGTCTTAGACATCAGGAGGCAAGTATAGAGCAGTAGCATTTACAGTACATTATGACATCACTGCATGGCTGTCATCATTTTGGCAACATCATGGTTTGCTGTAGATGCCTTTGAGCTGAGAGCATCCGTGCAAACGAACGTGAGGTAGAGGATAGGAATATTCAAAATGTTCCACTCAGAAGATAAAGATGTTCTGTCTCTGTGAGAGAACATTTGCATATATTTAGTGTGGGATTCTGATGGAGAGCAGAGAGCCTGGGCTGGGGTGGAAGTGGAGGGAAAGAAGCAAAGGACCAAGAAATTACCATTGTTTTGAAAACAGAATAGCATGCTTCTGATGCAGGGAGGGGAAAGAGAAGGATTATTATGTGGAGGGATAGTGTACAACCCAGCTTATGTTCTTTGGAAACAGTTGTTAAGTACTGAGCAATTTCAATTCTTATAGCGATAGGAGTGTTCTCTCAAGTCTTTCTCATTACATGGTTCAGAACAGGGCTGTATACTTCTTCAGAAATCATTCAGAAAAGGTGCTTCAGGGAAAATGAGCCCCACACCTGTTTGGAACTCTTTAAAGCAGCCATATCTTTTCCTCAGATTGTACAGCAGCTGCTTTAGACACAGCAGCTTTAAAGAGTTGCAGGCACATGCTATAATTCATGCCCTTGTTCTCTCTGATGTACTTCCTCCAAAGCAGTGCATAGCCTTACTTCATAACGGTTGAGAGGTTTTTGGTGCTGTCTCTAGCTGCAGCATGCATCAGTCCAGTCTTATTCCTGCAGCCTCAAATGTGAATCAGAGTTGTTTAAATACTTCTCTAAATATCTTTGACTAATACATGAAAACTGACAGCAACAGTTTTTACTCTGCCTAACATTAGCTGCTCTGCTTCCCACTTTCTTTATGTAGGCAGTTTATAGCACACTTCTCTACATGGAAGTAAGGGCCCAATCTGTTCAATCCGGTTAATATTTGAATAAGAGCAAGCTTGTTACTTTAGAGGTGTTTGCTTCTAGCAGCTACCTGCTGTCTCCACCTAGTGGTTTATTGCATAGAAAATTAAATTTAAATAAGTATGACTCTCAAAGATAAAGTCTCCTTCCTGTCAAGCTTCCGTGTCGTTTTCTTGGCAATAGTATGGCAGTGCTTTCCCGCTGTCTTCTTAATGAGATTTTTTTTTTCAAATTCCCAGTGGAACAGGGGCATCCACTGGAACTCGCCACTTTCATCAGAACGATGAAAGGAGCATCACGTTGCAAGTTTGTCCCCTTTTTGGGGGGGTGTGACATTACGATGTACAAGCTTGCCCTGCAATGTCATGACACCGCTGATGTCAGACTGCCCCCTCCTTCCCTCCCCCCGGACACCACTGCAGCCTTTATCCAGCCCTGCAACCAAGCTGGGCTGCTGCCATACCCTATTCAGAGCTATAACATTGGGACTGCTTCCTTGGTTCCCTGATCCTAACGCTCAGCTGGCCTACCAAGTGCCTTTTAACAGTAGACTACAGCATCAGTTGCCCTCTTCCAGCAGAGCATTAATCTGAGTGTTTGAAAGCACTTTATTTCTGCCAGGGGGAGGTGGGCCCAAGTATCCTTTCCTGCCACACTCACTGCTAATTGCTGTATTCTTCCTGTAGTGTTTGATCCTGAACATTGGGTTGATGGATGAATGTGCATGAGATTCTGGTTTTGGGGCAGTGGAGATGAGGCTTTGAAAACTCTATACCTATTTTAGGCTTACAGTTTTTAAGTATTTCTTGGCTCAAAAGGGCAGGAAATAAATTTGGTGGTATGGCTGTAAATTGCTTCTGGACCCCATGACTTGATGTACAGGACCTGTGACTTCAGCTGTTACTTCCAGTTTTAAAACTCAATACTTGCTGGAACATTTGAGCTCTCAACATTTCTTTTTAATCTTCTCTTCTGCTTCATCCTCTCTTTTCCATTTGATACCATCTAATGCCAGATGAGCCTCGGACAAAGGGCAAAACTCACTTGCACACCTGATGTGGCATATGGAACAACAGGTCATCCTGGAGTTATCCCACCAAATGCTACTTTAATTTTTGATGTGGAGCTGCTCAGGATAGAATAAAACGGGACTAATAATTAAAGGAATCTGTCTGTTAAAACCAGTGTTCTTTCCCCATTCTTTTTAATGGAAGGAATCTCACTGGAATTTCTGTCATCTTCACGCAAGCTGTCGCGCCAATAATGTTTATGAAGTTGTTTTCCCTACTTCCTTTCCCCCTTTTTTAAAATTGATTATTGGTGTTGGTATTTGTTCAGTTAGTTGCTTCTTTGCTATGGAGATGGAAGTTGTACATTTTATTTTGCACGTGAAGCTTCAAAATTGTGATTAGAATTATATATATAATTAAAAACGATATATAGATCCTACTTATTGAAAAACCACTGCCTTATAATCCACTAAAGGAATACGCATAAGGTGCTCCGAAAGCAAGTGTACACCCTGTGCACACGTGGGCATTAGCCAAACCAAGTTACCTGTGCTGCCACTTTTTCTTCAAGTTGTTCCATTTGCAGCTGTTTTAAATAACACATCTCATGAAAACTTTCCAGAAAGAAAAATAAAATACTGATATTTTACCTCTGTTGTCTTTCTCTTGTTTTAAACTACCACAGAGCCAATACAAGGATTCTTCCTGAATTTACTCTTATTGCTAAGGCTGTTGAATGGATTAGTCTTACCAGCTGAAATCATGCCATCCATAAATCCAAATATAAAGGACCTTAGATTTAATTTGAATTAATTTAAATGTAGATTTAATTAAATTTAAATTTAATTTAGATTTGGGGTTTGGGTTGGACTAGAAGACCTCCAACTCTATGATTCTATGAATTTGAATTGTGCAAATTCCATATCAATACACCTCAAAGGCTGCATATCAGGGGCCATAGAGTTTTCCAGATTCTCCATCTGAGGGCTTACGGAGCAATCTGCTCCAAGTCCATTTAGTTTTTCATCTTCTGGAGGTTAAGGAACTTGCTAAGGCAGTACTTGCTGATGTAGGAATTCTAACCTCAAAGAGAAGGTGGCATCCTGAAGAAAGAATAGCCCTTCTTTGCTTCTTGACTCTTCCCCATAACTCGTTTTTCCCTCTTGAATATTTGAATAGGGTGTATTCATTATACTCAGAAATAATATGGTTTGGTTTGGCTTAGTATGTTATATGAATGTGAAGGGGTGGAGGTATCAGCAAAATTGTGTAATATATAAGTCTAGTGACTGATTCCTCATGTCACTTCCTCGTATAAATTCTTCCAAATTGTAATGTTTTAAGTAGTAGAAATGGGAGAGTGGAAGGGCCCAAGTGCAGTTGTGGACATAAAAGGTAATATGAGATCACTACACCTAAGACAGGTCATTGCTCATAGTCCTGATACATGGAAATTCTGAGTCATTACCATCTAGTTTGTGAGCATTCAGACTTTCCCACTCCCTTAGCATGAGGAGTAGAAACCACTTTTGACTTAGACTGACTTCTCAAGTTTAGGTTGCTAGAATTTATAATACAAACTTCTCTGCGTGCTGTCAAAATTACACACAAGCTGAGAATCTGGATACTACTCTTTTTAAGACAACCCAAATATTAAGATTTACACATTTTAACCCATTATACCATTACATATGTTAGTGAATTGAATTTAAGGGAACTGTATTTTTGCCATTATTTATATTAAAAGATAATAAAGATACATTACTTTTTAGGCATAATTGCATGCTGTTTTCTTGAAAAAGTGTTGCTGCAAATACTAGTGAGAAATGTACTGTATTTATATTATCTTAACTCTTCCATTCTTTTTAGCTGAGCTATTTGTACAGTGATACTGAGCTGCAACAATCTTGAGTAACCTCATACAGTTAGACCTCCAGGCATTTGCTTCCCATTTTGTTCTAATTATTTCACCTTGCCCAGAAAAACAAGACTAGAAATAGAATCCTTAAAACAGACTAATGAAAGTTTTGCCTTCAGAAAAAAGTCAAGTCTCTGGTCTGGTTTCACAAGTTGAAAGAATTTTGGATTTTAAATAAAAGAAGGAAACCCATATTCCAACAACTCTACCACCAATTAGAAGGAATGCATGGTACATGGAGCAGGATGTATGTCGTGCTATTTCAGACAACCCAAACTAAGGCACAACCACCATTTAGATATTTGAACCATACCTATGAATTCCCAAGCTTCTCAGTAACGTCTCGTCTCGTGTCGGAATACTATGTTGTTTATTTACCCTATCTGCTAAGAAAAATAAATTCTATTTTTTTAAATACCAGATAGCCACCAAAAAGGGAATGGTTGGAAACAAATGACAAAAGTGGGACTACAGTTTTTTCCCCAGGGCAGTAGAATTCCCTACACAATTTCGACCTTGAAAACATTTGAGTAAAAACTCAGCACACAGCTACAAAAGCCTTTTTTGAAATATAACTAAACTGGACCTAGGCATTTATGCAAAGAGCACTACAGGTAGTCCCCAGGTTTAGAACACCCGGTTTACAGACAACCCATAGTTAAGAATGGAGCCTCTTGTAGCAAAATTTGAGTTAAATACCCCATGATTTTAGTTAAATACACAATGGTTCAAGTTCATTAATAATACTGTTCCAGCTTACATACAAATTCAATTTAAGGACAGACCTTGGGAACAGAACTCGTTCTTAAACTGGGGACTACCTGTACCAGAACAAAAAGAATCAAGATTGCACAATGCTGAATGTGTAGAGCAAATCATAACACCAGAAACAAATTTAGAATCATTTAATCAGAAAATCACAGAATAACTGTACTCTTAAAGACCCAATAAGCTCACTTTAATATTAAAAAAAAATTATTTCTAAAAAAATAAAGGTGGTATACAAGAGTTAACCAAATCTTTAACCTCTACTGGAAAAGTGTTATCTGTCATTTACAAAACATAAGCAATACAATAGCAAAACTTAAAAGTTGTATATATTTTAATGAAGAAAATTGGTGTGCATGCAGATTGTCATGTCTGAACAACCCTAAACTCCTCCTGTTTTTTGAAGCAGCTCATGTGATCAAGGTTTTTTTTTTAAATGTTGTCATATTCTGGGTGCAATACAACATAAGAAAGGGGCATAAAAGTGGATCTCTGCAGTTCAGCATTGGAACTCTCAAAGACACACTTGGGACATGATAACTGTAAACTGACATTATTGTCTAATAGTACATGCAAGTTAAACTTCAAGGATTTCTCACTTCCTCGCCTCTCTACCTACAGCCCTGAAAAATGCTTACAACATTTAAAGTATATCAGACAGCTTTTTTTCAACTCATTATTCAGAGGAGACAAATTATGGGCCATACTTAGGAAGTCAGATACCAAAATATATTTTAAAATATGCATGCTTCTCCTTTATAAATTAAATACGACAATGACCCCCCCGAATATTTTACACATCCTCCTGGCTGTAATGATTAAACGGTGATATTAATGTCATCTCTCAGCTGTGGAAAAAATGTTATTCAAGTTTTAATATCCAAGTGCCAGTCATTATCATACAGCAATGATGAATCCTTCCAAAGGTGAGAATAATCAAGATGGTTATGTAATCAAATAAAGAACTAAAATTACCAATGTTTCATATACCAGGTGTCCATATTTGGGGTTACATTTGGCCTAGAAACACTGATGTTTTTAAAAAATCCAAAACAACCAGATCCTCAGGAAAAGTTTTATTTTGGTGGATCTGTGTTTATTCCATATTTCTCCTTCAGAAGTTTCAGCTGTTCTTCTTTTTTCTTTGTATCCATTTTTTGGAATGCCTGTCACAGGACAAAATAAAATATTAAAACCAATATATTATTAATAGAAAAAATATTTAAGCCAATTTCATTGTATCAATTTCACTTTGGGAATGTAATGGATCTTCTTATGCAATTCAGACTGCTTACCATCAAACTGCTTTGTGATTTAACTACAAAATTCATACATTAACTTCCTGAAAATAAGCCAAACTGGGGGTAAGAAGTGGCATTCTACAATATCATGCTGACCCTAAGCTATCTTGGTCAAGCTGCACCCCGCCCCCTCTTGATGCCACTGCTGCTTTACAAGAGGAGAGAGAGGCCCTGTGAGTCCTCCTGTCTATTTGTAGGTTTGTGAAATGCTTGTGATACATGAAAGCTTGAGACCTAACTGTTCAGCAAACAAATATGCTTATCATTTGTTTAGACATTAAATGCCTTTCATTTAAATACTAGCCTGATAACTATAGCAAATGAATCCTTTAGTGGAAGGAGGAGGAAGTATTTGATCCTTCTCTCTATTCCATACAGAAACTAAGATAAGTTTTTAAGGTAGAAAAGCTTTCTCTACCTGATATAGAAGTCTCCAATTATCTGCCTCCCCACTCAGCAAGCCAGTAACTTTTATGGTCATGTTTACAAAAGTATTATAACATTCACCCAAATATTAAGGCATTAAGAAATAGCTTTTAAGACCTATTGAGACCATTATACCATGCTACAAGCACTCTTCTAAGCTTCTATCTTAGAGCTGCAACTATACTGAATTCTATCGTATAGTGCAGTATTAATGCAGCCTC